CTGGTTTACTCAGCAATTTGTCTAACGGAAGCTTCAGCTATTGAACCCCCAAGAAAACAGACTTTTTGATCAACTCAGAAAAGACTAATGCCCAACTTTCTGGTTAGTAATAAAATATAGTTTTTGCATATGAAATATTTAAAATTGACCAAAAAATTACATTAACATTTGATCATTCTGATTTAAAAGTAGAAAACACAGCATAAGTCCCTTAACCCTTTCACTACCAAGGCCTTTTCTGTATTTTTTGCCCACATTTATAATCCACATTGTAGACCTGAAAATTACTTAAAACCCCCAAACATTATATAATTTCTGAAAGCAAAGACCTCTGTAGAATAAAATGGTGGCAGTTGCAAATTGTTACGTCACATTTTGTAAAATATAAAAGATGAGGTTACAACGAGTAAATAAATACCCAACAGGCCCAGGTTTAAATTGCGTGCATCTGTGAAACGGCGACAAAATGCGGTACCCCACACTGTCCTTAGGCAATCCTTCAAAAGCCCCTACAGGTAATCAGTTTAGACATATCCTTGAATATTGGTCCTATAATTATTGCTCTCACTCTGGTGCCCTTACTTTACTAAATTGCTGTCACATAAGGGGGCTTACAAGCCCAATTTGTGATAGCATACTAATGGTGAAAAGGTCAATTAGACTCCTAATGTCACATTTGCACTTCAAATAAGCTATTGGAGGGCAGATTGCACTCCAATAGTTTATTGCCCAGCTTCTGCAGCCGAGCAATGTCAGCTGAGGGACCAGTAAGTGATGCAATCAGCGGCACTTCCAGTCCCAGAGAGAATGTCCGTATGCCAATCTGCTTCCCGCCAGCACCCGACATGATGGAGGAGGGGCAGCAGAGCCCAGGAAGCAAGGCGGGGGTGTCAGGGGACACACACTGCACCGGCCCCTGGAAGCAATCTGGGGGCAGCTCAGCCACCAGAATCGCTTCCAGTGTAAAGCCGACTGTCAGCTCAGCTTTAAAATGTAGACAGAGTCCAGGTGGCTATATCTGCCAGGAACATGTTTAGAGGGGCCCGCTGCCAGCAACTGGATTGACATTCCCCACGGCACCCAGCCCATTCACAGCATCTTAGAGATACTGTGAATTGGTTGAGTGTGTACACTGTGCAGCGCATGCGTCATACAGTGTATACACACAGAAAAAATTTAAAAACATTTCTGGGGGACTTTGCTTGTCTCTTTTGCCAAAAATGCCTACCTCCCTGTATTTTTTTCCCTGGCTTTCACTTTAAGGCTAAGATTCTGAATCTTATCCTGACAGCTATTTTAGATTTTGGGAGGAAAAATCATTACTTTTCTTCAAGGATATGGGAACTAATTTTATGTATGTGATGTCAAATCCATTTTATCAAATTTAATGCATGTTGTTAGTAGCAAACTAATCCAAACAACATGTGACCAGGTAATATTACCAGAAAGAATATGGTCCGCCCTTCTCAGTATGTTGCATAGTAAGAAAATTATTAATTACTAGACATGTGCATAGCTCAAAATGTCATTTCGTTTTAATTTGGATTTTTTTCTTTGCTTTCTGAAATTCTGATCCGTTTGATATTCTGTATTCATGATTTGGATCAATCCAAACTTTTCGTTTTTGAAATTCGTATCTATTCAAATCTATTTGGATGGAGTTTATATGTTGTTAAACATGAACAAAAAAAACCAGTGTGGGGTTACCTCCAAATTCCACCCTAAATCTCCTACCAGACCTAAAGGGTCAGGTATAAATTTGTGGGGGGGGACCCTACACTGTTTTTTTTCTAGATTTTCATATTTAACAACACATCAGACATTCGGACAAAATTTACATCCATCCGAATTTTCGTTATTTAATCAAAAATTCAGATACGTTCAAATTCATTACTTTCTTCATTCGGAAATTTGGATGCATCAGAATTTCGGTAAAACTAATACACAAGTCTATTAATTACACATTACACAAACCCTTTTCTCCAGCATTTCACAACTTTACATATTAAGCTGACAGTAAAGGCAGAATGTGAATTATCTGAGTGCATGCACAGAGCTCATCATTGATTCATTTTAACTCTATTCAACATGAATAATATTAGTTATGCTTCGGAAATGATCGATACAAATTACATTAACTGTATTTAATAAATCCGCACAGGATGTGTATTCTTTTACAGGTGTAGATATACCAAGACATGTTTTTTCTTTAACCCATTTGGTTTGTTAATCAGGACATATTCTGTTGTGCAGCATTTATGTATACATATTAACCATCTAGATGCCTATGATATAATTCTGTGCACACACACACACCCACCCACACACACTCATATATATGCATATGTTCTCTATTTTCTAACAGGTGCAACCAAGGAAATAAAAGAAACAGTTGGATTTGCCAAGCATATGTGTTTGATTATCAACTATAAACAAATTATTTTTAATAGTTGTAATGATTAAAAGCCTGGAAACTAGTAACACATGTTCCTAGACAGTACTCAGTGTCACTGGACAGTGGCTCCCTGGCAAAGAGTGTGTTCTGAAAATAATCTGCCGTTGGCATAATTGGGAAGTCATAGAGAGAAAGGCTGTAGCTTGTTGCAGTGTCAACATTGATATTGGGGAGAAGCATTATAAACTGGTCCACACCATTTCCTTATGATAATGGCTTTAAGGACAAGTGTAGTTTTATTCTGAATCCCTCCAATCCACCGCTCCTGAACTAACAACCCTTGTCCTAGCAGGGCAACATTCTGTTAAATCTGTGGATGAACATCCCTCAGGTAAAGGTCAGGGAAACAGCTGTTTTGCCAGCATATGAAGTCTTCTACCTCAAATTACATTTTCTAATTCCAGGGGTGGATAAATTAATATGGAATTCAGGAGAGAAGTCTGTCCAATCCAGGAGTTTGGTTGATTTTTTTTAGGAGCCAGCTCTTGACGACAGCTAGAGAAAACCTCAACAGTTGGGCACCAGTTATCATTTTTAGGGAGCATTGGCTACCTGATTCCTGGGATTTGTCCACCCCTGCCTTATCCACATTATAATGTTTCTTCCCTATGGCAGCCTTGGAGTCAATAGAAAATAAATCTTATTGGTTATTCTATAGTATCTAGCCTTAAAATGACTCTCGGCTTAAATAAAAACATAAAATAAAAAGCAGCATGCAAAAGAAAGTTGATTATACTTACCTGCCCCAGCATTAATTCATGGAGTCTACATCCCTGTTGCTCTGTGGTCCCATCCACCAGCCCATAAGGAACTACTGACTACTGTAGCAACACAGGGACCAGCGGATGAAACCACAACTCAAAGCAGTGGCCCAGGCATCCAACACACCCAGAAGTGTCGATCGTGGAGATTCTGCCAGAGGCCGTAGCTTGGCAAAAGAGCAAAGACACCTTCTTGTGTAGGCTGCTTTTATTTAAATGTTTTACAAATAATGGTTGCCAGATAGTTATGTAATTTTATACACCCCCTGCATGCAGTCACACACAAATGCATCACAAACACAGACATCCCCATAAACACCTTTATTACAATAAACAGATTCTTAGCTCCGATATGAACACAGAAAAGCGCCAAAAAGGACTACTCAGCCAGTATGGACCAATATAAGCACAAGTGTAGTCAGAAACAAGTCTGTTAAAAAATATATTAATAATAAAAAGCACGTGTGTAGAAAGGTCTGCAGGATGCTGCCCCCAAACCAGCCAGGGAGACCGCAAAATCTAGGAAAAAAACACAAACAAGGGGCGCCTTTCCTGGTGCAGACAAATTTATTAAGATCAGGATCAAAGGTAGATAAAAAACATACTCACAAAATTCAGCATGATAATAATATAAAAAGTAAGTCCATGGACCCAACAGAAAGTCTATGAAAGCTGCACAGTCGTGTCTATGTGTCAGCAGAGGAGACTGTGTGATGACGTGTTTCCGGGGTCATGCCCCCTTCATCAGATACCGACCACCTCCATCCCATGTGCTAAATATAGTGGCAACTAGCCAATTGGCAGGTGTGCAGGAACAAAATCGGCTCAGACCGCAGCTGCTAGGAATGTGTATAGAGTGTCATCCATGACTATAGAGGTGGAGCCAATATAGTTATTAAACAGGCGGACAAAGGTGGAGGGTTGGTCATTCTAGACAAAATAGATTACACTTCAGAGGCCCACAGGCTACTGTCAGACTCCTCCACCTATGAGAAACTAGCAGGTAACCCAACTGTGACTTACAAAAACCAGTTGGGATTACTTCTCAAACAAGCATATGCCTCAGGGATCCTTCAGAAGTCTGAATATAGATTCCTTCTAGCTCCACACCCTTATATTCCATATTTCTATCACATCCCAAAGATTCATAAAAATCCGACAAGACCACCAGGGAGGCCTATTATAGCAGGCATGGATAGCCTGACCTGTAACTTTTTATATTATTATCATGCTGAATTTTGTGAGTATGTTTTTTTATCTACCTTTGATCCTGATCTTAATAAATTTGTCTGCACCAGGAAAGGCGCCCCTTGTTTGTGTTTTTTCCCTAGATTCTTAGCTCCACATATTGCAGTACACATTGAGATTACCAACTGTGTCAAAATGTTCTCATGAGGGGTGTGGTTCAGCATGGACATGAGCAG